TTCTTCCTCGTAAATTGAGGTTTACCGCCATCGAAAGAAAAGCCGCGTTCTTTCGAAATAATTTCGAAAGAACGCGGCTTGAGTCTGGACGCAGGGGAAGTTTTTTCGGGAAAAGGCTACTTTTCCCGAAAAAAACCCTGAGTCTGGACACGGCCTTAGAGGGAACATTGGCCACCAGCTTCTGTCAGTTCTGTTCCCTGGAACGTGGCTTTGCTGTAGCAGTGAAGTCCCCTCCCCAGAAGTGGAGCCAGCAGGGGCTGGCAGCGCTACTCTGGGGAGGCTTAGCTGCAGACTGTACAGTATAACGCTAAGCTTTATACTGTAGAGCCCACAGTGCATGTAACAGCTAAAATTTTTAGCTGTTATAGTTATCTTTTTAAATTGCTTTTTACATTCCTAGGAGCTACTGCTGTTCAAATAAAGCTGCCCTTTTTTAAAAATAGAGAGTGTTTTCTACTCTTTGGTCTCAAATGGCTTTAACGGCATTTGCTGAAGATTTAAAAAAATCAATAACCCTTGCTTTTGTGCTGACAAACAAATGTGCAGAATTCTAGCTGAAAAGGTAAAACTTAGTTAAATTATAAGCATCTGAAAATGGTCCTTTAGAATGGAAACACTTGTGTAATCTTAACTATAGGCTTTTGTAAATACTGTCTCTAATCCCTAACTCGTTTTCTTTATCCTCGAGATTTATGAGGATAAAGAAGAAGGGTTTATGGGCATCTGTATCTCTTGGGCAAGGATATGCAGATTGTATTGTCCTTCTATATTGGGTTGCTGAATGTCCACAGAATGTATGAAGAGCCTTAAGTAAAGGATATATGTGAACCAAGAAATAAATTAAATTTTTGTCTTTGAGCACTAACTTTAAGAGGTGTGTGTTTCTTTTAATGTTTTCAGAAACAAGGAGAGGAGGAAGTGGCTTCTCATCATGAGGCAGCTTTCCCAATTGCTGTGGTGGCTTCAGGAATCTGGGAATTACACCCCAGGGTGGGAGACCTCATTTTAGCTCATATGCACAAAAAGTGCCCCTACTCTGTACCGTTTTACCCTGCATTCAAGGAGGGGACTCCCATAGAAGAGTATCAGAGGTAACTTTTCCACATAGAAGGGCTTCTTTGGAGCTCTGTAAGGGCTGAGGGTACTAGCTGGTAGAGAAAGTGAAGAAATAGATGTTTTCTTACATTACCCCTCATTTGCCCTTCTCACCTCACCTTCCTCAGAGGACAATTTACTGGTCTAGTTTTGAAATATCCAATACAGAATCCAAATATAGACTAATAGAACCTTATGCTTTATGCTTGTGTTTGACATTACTTGAAAATCTGAAATCAGGCCAGGTGTGTTTAGTTTGTCTGCTGTTGTGTGGATGCTATGGTCACTAAAATATCTTGGCCCCTCTAAAAATCATGTGTCAACTAAGGCTGTGAAACAATTTAAAAAATTGTGATTAATTGTGAGACTAAAAGTGATTAATCACAATTTTAATCCTACTATTAATAATAAAATACTATTTACATTGATTTTTTGGATATTTTCTATATTTTCAAATATTGATTTCAATTTCAACACACAAAACAGTGTATAGAGCTCATTTTGTATTTTTATTACAAATATTTGCATTGGAAAAAAAACAAAAGAAATAGTATTTTTCAATTCATCTCATACAAGTATTGAAGTCTCTTAATCATGAAAGTGCAACTTACACATGTAAAGTTATTTTAGTTTACATAACTGCACTAAAAGTAAAAAAAGTAAAACTTTAGAGCCTACAAGTACATTCAGTCCTATTTCTTTTTCAGCCATTCTCTCAGACAAATAAGTTTGTTTACATTTACGGGAGATCATGACACTCTCTTCTGACTTACATCACTGAAAGTGATAACAGGCATTCACATGGCACTATTGTAGCCATAAGATGCCAGATATATTGAACGTTCCAGTGCCCCTTCATGCTGTTCTCACTTTCACGAGTCACCACTGTGTCGTATAGCACCTTTCTGACGAGAGGACCAGACCTTTAGCATAGTTGCTCATCCAACTTTTTAATTTTCTGGTGAAGGGCTATATGTTTATCAGTGTTTGCCCTAATTGTGGCTTTTTAAATAGTATTGTCCATAATGTGCAGTATATTTGACACTGGACTACTCAGCTCAGTGTTTAATAAGTAACCTTCACATGAATTCTTGCACAGCTCCAGCATATCCTGAGTCTTAAAGTTGAGTTGTTAAAGAAGGCTGAGAATTGAGCTCACTTTGGGAAACCAGTGAACCTGGTTTGGTGTATTCATATTAGAATATCTTTCCTCTAATACACAGGACACTTGGTTATCAAGTTAAGGATTCCAAGGTAGAGCAGCAGGATAATTTCCTGAAACGAATGTCTGGAATGATCCGTCTTTATGCTGCTATCATTCAACTACGATGGCCTTATGGAAACAAACAAGGGGTATGTAAATAACACTTAAAATGTTTTACCTCCTTTAACTGGCAGTCTCTAATCCAGCAACATCCATTGTCTGGCAGGACCAGGGATGTTCCTGGGCTACAGAGCCCAGGTATAGGGAGGTTAGGTTGTGGAGCAGGTGTGGGGGGGGGAGGGGTACAATCACTTCCTTGT